TCTATTCTTATCTGAACGCTCTTCTGCCCTCCCATTACTGCTAAATGTCACTACCATTTCCGACCAGGTTTTGACAGCGATTTCGCTCTCTTCTAATTGCGTCTAGACCCATGTTGCTTTTATTTTGCTATTATCCATGGCATTCTCACTCATTGCGCTCCATTTGTATTCCTACGGCTTACAATCATTGCGCCTATCCAATTTATTCTCTTGCGTATGGTCTCCTCACTTCGAGCTAGCACCTGATTATTGGCGGCACGCGGACCATTGCTAATGTTTCTTGACTAATACTTCCATTAGTATGCTCATCTTACCACTCTTCATATGCCTCTGCTCTTTACATTATGTTCGCATTTGTCTATTAGTAAGACCGTACGTGGCATAATGACTCCCAATGCACGGCAGTTTTGGTCCCCTGTGACCAATTTTTCTGGATTCTGACGGCATTTGGGCTGTGGAATCATGATCGCTTTAGCGTAATTACTCTCAGGAATTACTCTTCGCACTGCAGTAAGCATTCATCCGCTTCTAGCCGATTCTTTGAATTTCCTTTTTCTCTTGGAACGTTGCTTTACCTATTTTGCTCCCTCATTCGGTCTCAACCTAGTTGTCCTTATTTTCACCTAAGATGCCTCTCGCATTCGGACTGCTGCCATCGTCATCGGTTTATCTGTTTCTCTCCAACCATCGCATCATTCGCTTAACTTTTGTCAACACGCTTTGTTATATCAGCCTCTTGGTCCTGCGCGTGCAGTACCTTCTTCCTACCTAGTACTTGTAGTCTGAGTCACATCAGCGACGTGATGTGAAGAACGCGCTTGCAAATCATGTATACTAAACAAAATTACATAAGTTTTAATGTACCATAGAAACTGTTGCGCGCCACCAGTCTGCGTCAGTGCTTATTGATTCATTGCTGTCTCTCTGTTTGGCTGCCTCTTGTCCGTTGCCCGACTTTACTGCGTTTTCCACAGTTACATCTACCAAAGCAAGGAGGTTTATCCACTGGGACTAGTCGATCCATCCTCAATAGCCAGCTGTTTTAAACGCTTGGTCCCTTCTCCGGGAGATGAAGAACCCACACATCCTTCCAAATGGAGCTCTTTCCGCCATTCTGGAGACGCCACTTTCACGGGGTCTTAACAAGTGGGTTTAGCTCGCTTCGTACTCAGAGTAGAACAATTTGCTCACCTGGAATAATATATTTACATGGAGCCCCTATTCCATAACCGACGACAGATAATTCTGGCGTCATTACCTTCACTGCCTCAAATATTCCTATTCGACCGTCACCTGGAGCTATTCTGCTGTCATTTAACGAACAGCGTTACTCTCGTATAAGTGGCTTTTCCAATGGCCCTTCATGGAATTTTCACTTAGCCATGGAGACAGTTACACTAACTTAAATTTGAAGGAATTCCGGATCCTCTTTGCGGAGACTGGCATTTTCGCCTTTTATGGACATATTCAGCCACAAGAAACAACTTCACTCACCGTCCCCATGACAAGTCCAGCGTGGATATCTGGACATGGTTTGCGAGCCGAGCAAGAATATAATAGAAAAGCCGGCCTCTATTAACAATATATTTACTCACCTGCGTCATTTATCATTCGACTCTGCGACACTTTTGTATCATTGAACGGCTTCAACGACCGCTGCCTGATCATTACTAAGCCATTCGACTAACCAAGAAAGACTTTCGTCTGGCAACCAACTGCGAATAATAGAGTGCAAAATCGGTCTATACGATGCATAGCCGACTAGCACTACTGTTCAACGGAAGCTACGGCAGTGTTCCAGGACGTGGTGGGTTTTCGCTTGGCAAGCGTTCTCCTTATAAAAAGCTACAAACGTCCGCTTAACAACACTGCAACGTGGCGGATGTGACTCGCCACAAAGTAAAGTCACAACTAAACATTTCACACTGCCGTAGTCTTCAGCCTTCTACATCCAACCTGTGCAACTGATTTTACTATGAAGAATGCTTTGATGGAGCACAGATCATCCCGATTTCGCAATGGTCATTGGTTGCACCAAAACCTTGTTTGGGCTCCTGTGCTCATGGACTACTACATGGCGAAATTACCCTCAACTTGTATCTTGAAGGATTTTTGAGCGCCACAGCGCCATCATGTTCTTTGGTCTGACCATTACCTGACAATATGCTCACTCATAATGACTACATCTTTTCGTTTATACCTTACATTAAAACCAAATTTTTTAAAATTCAAAAGAAGCTATGCTTTTATGCATATTTGCTCACGCATTTACAGGTGTTACACGTTTTACCGGAATATACCATTTATTTATTTATTTATGGCTTCTGCAGGTCCACCGATCATGCACTTCAACGCAGGCTTACCCACCAACCTCTCACCTCAACGGGGTTCGACAGGTGCGTTGTTGGCCGACTCACACATCCAGCACCATACGAGTGACCCGCATCCAATCCTCCTCTTCAGTGCTTGACCTAGCAAAAATAAAATGCACCAACTCGCCCCCTACTCCACCTATATATCTCGCATATGGTGCTGCTAACTGAAACGTGGCGCGCAGCTGGTACGTCTGACGCTCCGCTGCAGATTCCTGGGTAAACGACTTCCGGTGGCGGTCGCATCAAACAACGAGGAGGCAGTTGGATTATATACGTCAGTAATAAATTCCACGCCTCCTCTTTCCAAACCGTACCACTTAGAAATCCCAAAGCTTCTGTCTGGTTTCAGGCCATAAGAGGCCATAGGAAGCTCTAGCACTGTCAACAGATCGTTCAACCTACATCTTAGGCGCTTATTAAACCACTCACTACGCTCTTCTGATTCCATCAACTCATTTACCGGTTAACAACGCCTTATACTCCCGGTTTCCAAACAGGACAACTTTTGCGTACGCTAGGCCACTTCGGCCAGCATCTTCCTCTCATATTCAGCAAATATCGGGTCTCGTGCTTGAACGCAAAACTACGGATATGAGGTATAACATATACGGTCACTCCATTGCTTTCAACCAGCACAAATTTACCGTCCTATTAGCCACACATCCATTGCGTCTAGACTCATGGAAAGAATAATAAAGGACGGGTTGCTTTATTTTCTGTTACAACGCAGCCTTATTAATAGGTCCCAACACGGGTTTCTGCCTGCTAAATCTTGTCAAACTTGCCAGTTTGAATTCGTAAACGACGTTACGCAGTCCATAGACCTGGGTCAAGCGATGGTCATCATCTTCCTTGATATGAATAAAGCAGTTGACCGGGTCCCACACAATGGTCTGTTGACAAAATTAGCTGCATTCGGTATTTCTGGCTACCTCCTTTCTTGGTTTTCTTCTTACCTTTCTAATCGGACGCAGTCAGCGCTACTGGGTGATACCACGTCTAAAAAGGCACCCGTAACCAGCGGAGTGTTCCAAGGCAGCGTCCTAGGTCCTCTGCTGTTTTTACTGTACAGCAATGACGTATTCTCGGTCTTCCAACAAGGCACTCCCTACCTCTTCGCTGATGATATAAAAGTCGTATTCTCATTTGATCCTAGCTGCTTACGTAATGGCCACTCCAGCATTCAAAGAGATCTCCATGCTCTTGAAACATGGTGTGAACTGTGGAAACTAGAATTCTCACCAACCAAATGTAACGTCCTTTCATACAGGTGCTCTGTACCGCCAAACATATTAACTCTTAACGGAACACCACTGGATAACAGCATTACTGTGCGCGACCTCAGCGTGCACTACTCAAGCTCATTGAATTTTACGGAACAAGCGAGCTACAGCTCTGCAAAAGCCAGGTCTATCGTTGGCTATATACTAAAGTCAATGAGCCTGTTAGAGTCGCGACTCATGCTCTACAAGTTGTGTGCTAGACCTATAGTAAAGTACTGCTCGATAGTGGTTACTAATTCACGCAAAAGTGATAGGATGCTGATTGAGAAAGTCCAGCGTTCGTTCACTAAGCGCCTTCTAGGTTCAGCTACGCTCAGTTATCAAAGCCGCTGTAAGCAGCTTGGTCTGGAACCACTATGGCTGCGGAGACTGAAAACAAACCTAGATTTTCTTTATAAGCTAATCAAAACATCAGACTCAAGTATTGAAATATATTTTCAACCGCTGGGTGACACACGTTATCCTCTACGCAAAAAGCCACACTCATTCGCACTACCCAAAACTCGTTGCTCTATACGTTTTAACTTCTTCCTCTATAAATAAATAAATAGGTATATTTCTAGACCTGCTAGAGGCTGCACCCTAAAGGGTTCAGATCAATGCTTACATAAATCCGATGCTCTTGCACGGAAGTAGGTAAAATATAAGTATATGTTCATCGTCAGAAGTTACAAATGCATTGGCATTGTTTGATATACAGCTACTGGGTCGCAGGCGCCCACCTTGACATGTTTCTGGTTCCTGCGGGTGATATTGAACTCCTTGTTCTTTTGTGAAAACTTCGCGGAGGTGTAGTTGTGCCTTTTCTCCTTGGAACAGAATCCAATTCGCCGAAGTGCACTTGCTTA